GGGCGGCAGGAGCCGCGCCGGGCCCGGCGGTGATGGGCGAGTGTGGGTGTCCCGTTTGCCTTGTCCTCCACTTGTCGGAATAGTGAGACGGGGAATGTCGGAGTTTTGCTTCCTAAAGTAGTGTGCAACAAGAACTGGAAAACCTTTCTGTAGTTTTTGTTCAGAATAACAGAATAGGGTGACATTGCTGTGAGGTCAGTCCCGTCGCTCTTCCATAAGGCTTAACCAAAGAGATCTGTAGCAAGAGGATAAACTTTTTTCCTGGAGTATTTTCTAAGTAGTACATCTGTATAAAACAAGCAGTGTAAAACATGAGACCAAATTATTTTCACGCTTAAACAAGTTGTTAGTAGGAGCCGTATGTGGAAGTTCTAAACCACTTGGTCAGCTTCTGGTCAGCCCTGGAGCGCTCAGGCAGTTGGACGAGGCAATTATTGTAGGTCCCTTCCAACTGAACTTTTCTATTCTAAAGCAACTGTAACCCAAAGCCTGTTTTCCAGTTTCAGTAATTTTGCTTTTCTGCATGTTACTAGCCTCTGCTAGAGCCAAGTTTAGGAGGCTGTTTCAAGTTTCCTTCCAAACTTGTTCAAATATAAAGTTAACCAGAAGAATATATTTTCGCAGTGTGTTGCATCTTTTTTCACGTGCGTAGTGTTGGTGGGCCTGCTAATTATGTTGTAAGGGTTTGCCTTTTGAGGCAGTATCAAAATGAGTATTCTTTTTGTCCTTTGATTTATTCACAGATAATATAAGAAAGAATGGCAAATGTGCCCTGCCACATATTCACTGTAATCGGTTCTCTGTAGGTTCTGCATCCAGAATGATTGTTAGAGCCTTTTTAGTAGTTTAGTAGTGAGTGTTTCCTTGATTACTGCTTGGCAGTCCTGGGTGAGTTCATACATTGTTTGCTGCATGATGGTGTCTGCTTTTCAAGACATCGCATCCTCCTGAGGATGTGAAATTGTCAGTGTTGAACATGTGGCTTGGTCTCAAGTAGCCTCCTCTGTCGTGAGACCAGTCTATTTGCTGACTTGCAGTTTGAGACACCTAAAAATTGGAAGATACTTTGGTGTCTCCATAAGCTGTGGTGGCCTTCTGGCATCCTGGGGCAAATTGTATTGCTGTGGGAACCACTTAACCTATTAATTAATTTGCAAATGGGATTGGGGTTTTTTATTGCATATGTTGCTTTTTGTTAGGAAATGTTCAGTGATGACATTTCCAGTGTAATTAACTCTGAGGGCACTTCAGATTGTGAGCAAATGGAAGCTAAGGAGCCTGGAGGTTAATGAAGGTACTTTGTTGTTGTTGTTCTTAGAAAAAGCATGGAAGGAACGGAGAAATCGAATGTGTGTACGATGCATTAGATGTCCCTCTGTAGCTGCCTGCTGGCTCATGTGGTATTTATGAGAGTGGATGGATACCTTTTGGGTGTTACTGGAAGGTTCTCTTTTTGTAGACTTTTGTCTTATGTTTATGTCCTCAAAAGCATTTCAGAATTTTTAGAAGGATGTACTATTGAACTGTGTATATGTGGAAAAAGCTGTAAAGTCTTTGTTGTAACTCCAGCTCTTCCGCCCCATCTTCTGAATCTGTGACTCCGTTGCTTTTTCTTTCTTAGTGCTTACGTACTGACAAAAAAAATGCCCTTGGTTAAAAAAAAAAAAAGGGGGGGGGGGAGTGTAGTCAGTGTGGATGAGTTAAGAGCTTGAACAGAAATTCTAAATTCTATGTCTGTATAAGGAGAGTTGAGACAAGTGTGAATTACATGTTTTGTTAGTC